GGACCGCCGCCCGCCACCGGGCCCCCTGCCGGAAGCCTTGGGCCCGCGCCGGAAGGGGTGGGGTGGTCACCCGGGCGACGCCTCTTCGATTGGCAACAGGTTCGGGAGGCGGGATGAGCTCCGGCCGTCGCTCGGGTAACGGTTCTGGGGCTGGGGGCGGGGCGAAAGGTGGGCGTGGCCTTGTGTGTCCGCGACCGACGTGTGGTTGGTTGCGGGGCGCGGCCCAGGGGGAGATGGGCGGGGTCATGGAAAAGCACAAATCCCTAGCAACGGCGCCCTGGGAACCGTTTGCCTAGCAACGGAGGGACCCTCAAAAGAAGGCCTGGTTCATAACCTGACCTTCCCATCACGTCACAGATGACCCCAGTGATTCCAGTGCCGCGTTAGACTTCCAACATACACCTTCCTGACCTCCAGTGTTTCCCACTGACGTCTTAAAATCCCTGACTGGCGACAGCATCTCCAGACCCTCCTCCCCGATCCTTGATGATCCCGCAGATCCCGCTGATCTCCAGCGTCTCCATAGAATTCCAAGGACTTCATCCGACCCACTACCGATTAACGTTAACCCTAAACATTTCCACATTTCCCACCAACCTCCAATATGTATCTCCATGACTTCACTATCTTCAACAACCTCACTTCGTCCTCCAACACCCTCCTCTGATTCCAAAATTTCATTGATCCCCACAATGCCCCTCAGTGTCCCAGTGATCCACTAGTAATCCAAAAGCGCTTGGTGATTCCATGAGCCCCCGCTGATAGCCAGTGCCCTCACTTCCGCTGAAGCCACCCTGCCCCCATCACAGACCTTCTTAGACCCATTCTCAGTGGTCTCTCAGATTTCTCACCGGAATGTCCCAGAGGCATCTTACACTCGACAAGTCCTACAATGAAACTGACATCTTCCTCCAAATGCTGCTCCTCTCCTGTGTCCCCATCTTAGAGCTCGCACTGCCATCCCCCCCAGTCACTCAGGCTGCAGACCTCAGGGTCTCCCTAGATCTGCATGGTCTCCCTTCACGCCCTGCTTCCAGTTCCCACGTTTTTTGCATTCTGTCATGTGAAGTCCTCTTTTCCAGTCCCTCTCTCTGCATAGCGCTGGTCCAAAGTCCTCCTCTCTTGCTCGGGCCCTCTCAGCATCAGCTTTGTCTCTGCTCCCCTGGACCCTACTGCTCTCGTGGCAAAGTAAAGCCCTGAGTGCTCTGCTCCTGCCAGTCTCTCTTTCCAGTCTCATCTCTCACCACTCACTCCTCACACCATGTCCCTAACATGGGGTTTCAGGAAACCTCAACACAACGCTCTCTTGCCCTTGGGTCTTTGCACTCCTCTGCTTGGAATGCTCTTCCCCACTCTGTTCTTGACACTTTAAGAGTCATTTCAGGAGGGGCGCCTGGGTGGCTCAGTTGGTTAAGTGACTGCCTTCGGCTCAGGTCATGATCCTGGAGTCCCGGGATCGAGTCCCGCATCGGGCTCCCTGCTCGGCAGGGAGTCTGCTTCTCCCTCTGACCCTCCTCCCTCTCATGCTCTCCGTCTCTCATTCTCTCTGTCTCAAATAAATAAATAAAATCTTTAAAAAAAAAAAAAGAGTCATTTCAGGAGCTCTGTCCGTCCTCTGGGCTCCCCCATCTGGGTTGTCACTGTCTGTCTCTCCTGTAGAGTGTGAGCCCTGGGAAAGCAGAGCTGGGCTGACAGAAGGCACTTCAATAGTTGTTTGCTGAAGGAATAAATGACACAGATAGGAGAGACTGTGCCAGCCAATGTCTGTTCCCAGCAGAGCCCAACAGCCCTGACTTGGAGGCCGTGTCAACAATTGAATGAGGAGCTAGGCCATGATGCCGTGGGGAAATTTTATTTAGAGCAGTTACCTTCTTCTTCTACCCCTGCCCTCCAGGCAAACCAACTGTGAACAAAACAACCCATCCCTCACTATGCATGAGGGAAAAGCTGCTATCTACCTGCTTGGGAGAGGGGGCTAGGGGGTCCCCTTCAGTCCTCCAGGTCCTCATCCTCATCTTCCTCCTCATCTTCCTCCTCTTCCTCCGAGGCTGCCAGGGCCTGCTCCTGGGCTGCCTTGAGGGCCTGCTCCTCCTCCACCGTGGGGTCAGTCATTTCCAAGACGTCTGGGCTGCTGGGGTACTCGTGCTGAATGGGGGCTGGCAGGGGTGGGTTGAAGTTCTCAGGACTGTACTTGTGGCCCCAGCCAATGTAGATGTTCTCAAACTTCCTGGAAAGGCGGAGAAATACTGGGAAATCCTCCCCGAAGGCCCCAGCCTGGGTTTTCATTGAAGGTGGGACCCAGCTTGGGTCCAGCACGACTGCAGAGTGGTGGGTGTTGGGGTGATATGTGCCCAGGGGGTTTCTCTGCGTGTTCTTCAGTCGTTATGGGGCATCTGTCTCCTAAGTGCCAGGTGTGTCTAGAGCTGCAACAGCATGTGGAACCACTGAGCACTTGACACGTGGCCAGTGAGTGTGACCAAACAGCTGAGTTTCTAATTGTATTTGATTTTCTAATTTCACCTGCAATTTCTTCTTCAGCCCCCTGGTTATTTAGGAGTGTGGTAATTTCTACATATCTGTGAAATTCTCCCAAATTCCTTCTGTTTTTTTTATTATTATTATTATTTCTAATTTCTTTTTTTTAAATGTTTTATTTATTTATTTATTTGTCAGAGAGAGAGAGAGCACAAGCAGGGGGAGCGGCAGGCAGAGGGAGAAGCAGGCTCCCCTCAGGGAGCCTGAAATAGGACTTGATCCCAGGACCCTGGGATCATGACCTGAGCCAAAGACAGATGCTTAACCAACTGAGCCACGCAGGCATCCCTGATCTCTAATTTCATTCCAGTATGGCCAGAGAACATATTTTATACCATCAATATCTGGGTACATTTATTGAGACTTGTTTCATGGCCTAGCATATGGTCTGGTCCTGGAGGCTGTTCCATGCACACTTGAGGAGAATGTGTGTTCTGCTGTTGTTTGAATGGATTTTATTTCATTGTAATGAATTTAAATTTAAGCAATAAAACTGATACTCAGTTCGGTTACTAGAAAATGTCTAAGCATGTCTGGGACAACTGGGGTCCATGAATCTACTTTCTCAACTGTAAATGTTGTGAAATCTGAGTACAGGTCAAGTACTTCTGATGACAAGGTAGCTTCCAAATGGAATGTGTGCTTTAAGTGTCAACTTCACACCAGATTCTGAAGAACATGGTATGAAAATAAAAGAATGTAAAATAGCTTGTTAATTTTTACATTATTGCTTTCACATTGTAATGATAACATTTAGGATATTTAGGGTGAAGTAAAATATATTATTAAAATGAATTTTGCCTGTTTTTACTCTTGGACATGGCCATTACTAGAAAATTAAAAAAAAAAAAACCAAATTAAAAAGTTAAATAAAGTTTAAAAAAAGTTTAAAAAAAAGTTTAAAATGACACAGGTGGCTTGTATTTTATTTGTGTTGGACAGTGCTGGTCTAGATGTGGGGACCCAGCAGTGAACCCCTTAAGCAAGAATCCCTGTGGTGATGCCTACATTCTAGAAGGAGGACACTGATAATAAACAAGAATGTAACTGGTTGGAGCCAAGCCCTGTCAGTCCACCTGTTCCCAGAATTTTAACTAGAGGAGGAAATGGGAGCAAAGGAGGGGGACTGGGAGACAAGGAGAGAGGCAGAGAGGAGTGGGGGTGAGGGAGAGAGATGGATGGAGAATTTGCCATGGGGACTCTGTGGCTTTGCCCTTTATCACAGCCTTGCTGTTCCTAGGACAATTGTTTTCCACCAGGTCTTCCTTGGAGCCTTCAAATATATTGCCTCCTTGGAAGCCTCGCCCGGGAGGTTGAGCTTGCTGGGAAGACAGACTCTCAGGCCCCAACCCCACTCCCGTGCCACCAGAACCTGCACTTCAACCAGATCCCTGGGGTCTTGTGCACTCATGGTCTAGGAGGCTCTGGTCTAGAATGTCCTCTACCTGCTTTTCCGCGTTACTTCTCTCTTTCCCCAAATATTTCACGTCAAGTTTGCTCTCCCCAGGAATCCTACTTTGATCCCCTTAAGACGAGACTTTGGAGCTGTAATTGGTCCCTGCACTGTCTGTCCCTAGTGGTACTTAGTTTGTAACAGGGTATTTATTTGGCTGGGGGGCGGGGTGCTATACCATTAACCTCTGTGCTTCCTCTGCCTGCTCTCAGGGGCAGGAGCCACATCGCCTTTTCAATAAAGGGCCTGGGACCTAGCATACAGCTGGCAAAGAAAAAAAATGGAAAAAACATGGATGATTGGAGGGATGGACGACTGAGTGGTGGATGGATGGATGAGTGGAGCTCCAAATTTGGATCTTTTGCTTTCAGAAAGATGTTGGCAGGGCACCTGACTGGCTCAGTTGAGGAGCGTGTGACTTTCGGTTGTGAGTTCGAGCCCTGTGTTGGGTGTTGAGATCACTTAAAAATAAAATCTTGGGGCGCCTGGGTGGCTCAGTCATTGGGCGTCTGCCTTTGGCTCAGGTCATGGTCGCAGGGTCCTGGGATCGAGCTGCACATCGGGCTCCCTGCTCAGCGGGAAGCCTGCTTCTCCCTCTCTCACTCCCCCTGCTTGTGTTCCCTCTCTCTGTCAAAAAAAAAAAACAACAAACTTAGGGTCACCTGGGTGGCTCAATCAGTTAAGCGTCTGCCTCCAGCTCAGGTCATGATCCCAGAGTCCTGGGATCGAGCCCTGCATCGGGCTCCCTGCTCCACAGGGAGTCTGTTTCTCCCTCTCCCCCTGCCCCTGTTCCTGCTCTCTCCCTTTCTCTCTCTGTCATGCTCAAGCTCTCTCTCTCTAATAAATAAATAAAATCTTTTAAAAAAGAGTCTTAAAAAAAAAAGAAAAGAAAGATGTTGGCAAATTAGAGTGTGGCCAGAGGAAGGGGGTTGGCAAAAGCAAGCAAGTGAGACTCTTCTGTTTCTGGAGGGGAAAAAAATTGCCAAGAATGTAGTTAAGGGGGGCACCTGGGTGGCTCAGTCGTTAAGCATCTGCCTTCAGCTCAGGTCATGATCCCAGGGTCCTGGAATCGAGTCCCGGATCGGGCTCCCTGCTCCGCGGGAAGCCTGCTTCTCCCTCTCCCACTCCCCCTGCTTGTGTTCCCTTTCTCGCTGTGTCTCTCTCTGTCAAATAAATAAAAAATCTTAAAAAACAAAACAAAACAAAAGAATGTAGTTAAGGTATCAAGATTACATGAAATCTCATCACGGGATCCAACGCAGTATATAGGTTTATCATGGAGATGGAAAAGGAAAAATCTATGAAAACTTATCATGCCATCTAGTGGACAGAGTGGTAGAGGAGGGCACCCCGTAAGTGGCTAAGCAGAAAGGCTGGGATGCGCCTGGTGGCAGAGACTAAGGGACTCTCAGTGTGCAGTGAGTGTGTAGTGAGCATCTCAGTGAATGTGTAGCTGTGGGTGGGAAGATGCAGGAGTGACTTCAGCCTGCAGATCTTTTGGAGCAACTGGTGGGGGATCCTGATGGGGAAGACTTCTGCCCTGTAGCGAGAACTGTCCAGGGGCCCCGGGGAAGGAGTTACATCCCCCAGACACAAGGCTCTGCCCCTGTCAGGGTCACCTCAAGGTAGACTCCTCAGTCCTGTCTGGCTCTGTGACCCACATAGATGAGAGGCCTGGGCCAGGAGGCCAGAGATCCAAGTTTGAATCCTGCATATGCTGTGTGACCCTGAGTCAGTTCCTTCCCCTCTCTGATCCTCCATTCTTTTATCTGAGGGGCTCACGCTCTTTGTCCAGGATTTCTCATTTTAGCCCTAGTGGAATTCCTGGAACTGAGTGTGGAGGTCAGCCCTGGCGGCTTCCAGAAGGGGATCCTTCCGATCTCCATCCTGCCCCCTGCCCTCACCACTGAAGAAGTTGTAGGGGCTTTCTCTGCTGGAAGGGACTAGAAGACCTACTTGCCACTGGCGTAGGCATAGGCCCCTGGCCAAAGATTGGAACGCACGACGGCCACGGAGTACTGCGGGCAGAGGCTGCAGGACAGGCGGGCTGTCCACGGTGACATGTGCATGATTTCTGCAGGGGAGTGGAGAGCACCAGGGAAGTCAGAGCTCCCCGCAGCCCTGCACAGCCCCCTGCAGGGGAGACAGAAAGAGGGGAGAGAGCAAAGGGGGAGGACAGGAAGGGGCATGAAGGGAACTGTGGCTGGCTCCAGATCACTTTCTTGCTGTGTGGCCCCAGGAAGCCACCGCATCTGTCTGAGCCTCAGTGACCACACCCAAGAAGTGGGTATCCTTATCACACCTGCCTTGCAGGAGCTGCTGTGGCCTCCCTTCCAGGTGGTCATTGGTTTGGACCAGGGTGCAGAGCGCACGGGTCAGGCCCTGGGCTCCTGGAAATCTGGGTTCAAATTTGGGCTCTGTCCACTCACCCACTCTCACCCTCTCCTTTCCCCTTCCTCCAGGTGCCTGAGGCTCTGACCTCAGGACATTCCTATCCAGGCTTCCAAAAATCCAGCTCAGGTCCTGCCTCCTTTGTGGAAAGGCTTAACTCTCTCTCTCTCCCCAAACCCACATGGGACTCAAAAGATCATACCCCCCCATAAGTCGGGACATTGCCAGGTGCCTGACACAGCTCACAAGATGGACGTGTCCCCATAACCCCACGAGGGAGGCGCTGTCACCAGGCCCATGGTATAGAGGAGAGAACAACTGAGGCTCAGAGAGATGCCCCCCCGCAGTCTTGCTGTCCCTCCCACTTTCTCCCCAGGCCCCACCTGCTCCGGTGGGCTGGTGTGTGTGAGGTTAAGAGGGTGAAGAGGACGGTTACCTGCATCTTCTGAGAGCGGGGTCAGCAGCGGGGGCCCGACCTCCTGCTCCACCTCCTCTATCCCCTCATCTGCTTTCTCTTCCTCCTCCCCCAGCTCCTCTTCCTCTTCCATCTTCTGCAAAGGGTTCACCCAAGTGCAGCGGCCCTGGGGGTGGGGGGAAGGTCAGTCGGCATGCCTGGCGGACAGAGCCTGGCCTGCACTCTGGGAGGAGGTGAAGGGCCAGGAAGGACACTGGGCACTGGCCCTATCCTCAGGGAGCCAGGGATGGGCCGGAGGACAGGGTTAGTCACACAGGTCAGGGAAGGGAGGGCGGCTGAGAGAGCTGTAGTGGTGAGGTGGAGACTCCTGCCACCCCCTAGCTGTGTGGCTCCCATCTGTGCATTCATTCATTCATTCATCTTATACTTAATGAGCGCCTACTATATACAGGTAGGTGCTGGGGATAAATCCTTGAGAAAAGAGGCCCCCCCAAATCTCTGCCCTGTGGAGCTGACATTCAGCAGCCCATATGATCCTCTGTTTGCTCATCTATGGAATGGGGGTGTCATGGGGTCTCTCTCATTGGACTGCTGTTGGGTTCCATGAGGCACTGGAGGGCTGATACGTGTTTGTTGAATGAATGAGCCAAAGCGCGCAGCATAGAGCCGACTTCAGTTGCCTCAACTATGAAACGGGAATGACAGTTGTAACGATCTCAAAAGGAGTTATTTGGATTCAGTAACGTTGCCAGGGTCAATAAAAGTTTGTTGAATGAATGAATGAGTAAAAAGTTCCTAGCATACAGCAGGTGTTAACTTGAATGAGTGAATGAATGAATATAAAGCCCAACACATCGGGCATTCAAGAAAGGCAGGTCCTCAGTCTCTTATCCACAATTCCCAAACCTGAAAAGCTGTGAAAACCAAAAGTTGCTTTTTTGTGCCCGACCTGAACTAATGAGAGGTTATTCAGTTTTGCAACAGAAATAAAGTCTTGGAGGATGGCTGCAGCCCCAGCCCCCTGGCTTGAGGTGCTGCATGATATCTGGTATGTGCGCTCTGTCACCTTTTTAAAATCTGAAAAACGGGGGCGTCTGGCTGGCTCAGTCGTTAAGCGTCTGCCTTCAGCTCAGGTCATGATCCCAGGGTCCTGGGATCAAGCCCCGCATCGGGCTCCCTGCTCAGC